CTGGATTGCCCAGGATTCACTACTCGAGTATTGCTGTGGAGAAATTTTGAAAATTGGAATTCTTCTTCAAGAGTGGAAGAGTGGTGGAGTGGTCTTTGAAAACCAATTTTATTGTCAATTGAGCCCAGACAAGCTTAGATCGGCTCCAAAAACGCTTCTAATATGATCGATATAATAAAAGGTGGACCTCTCTCAAGTACTTCTGGGTGACATATATATCCGGTGTTGTAGTATATAATAAAACCTCTTATTCGTGTTACATTGACTTTTGCGCAAAATTGCTTCTGCGACCATTCGCAGATAATATCGACGCATATAAATCGGGGAGAATTTTACGCCGACGCACAAAGTGCTTTACATAGCCTCTAAACTCCATTCAGTGTGGGATTGACACAGCAGAGCTGTGTCCATAGGAGGGACATGGCCAAATTTGCGGTTTGCAAACACGCCTGCATTTTTTTCGTTTACCAAAATTCATTTTGTTTTAGTCTGCAAACTTCACCTTAGTATACATAGAAAAGGGAGAAAAATATTAAGCTAGTGCCAAGAATCGATTGAAATCACAAAGCGTTCATCAGTATCTGGTTTAGCGTAACCATTAACTGTCCAAGTTTCTGCGGCGCCGAGTTTTTCAACAATAGATGGACATACGGACGACTTCAAATCTCCAGGCAGCATTGGATTTTACGCTGATCAATAATAAACTTTGCAAGCTCTCTAAAGTCTCTTCAATGCGAACGATTTGGTAGAATAATGTCCTTCGTTGATGCAATCAGAAAAGGCCAAAATTCGTATATCGATTGGCTGTAGGGTGCAGTTGCTTAAATTTGGTTGTTGAAGGATGGGATGCTTAATAAACAATAAATTCTCCTTTACAAGAGTGACTATGAGTTTCTATGTCTTATACCAAAAGCTTGAGTACTGGTTTAAGGCGATCAGTTGAAAGTTTTTTTAATACGAGGAATCATTCAACGAATGTCTCCTGTACGAGTAGTACGGTGGCGGTCAGGAACAAGTGAAGAAAGGGGAAGAGATAGCGGGCTGGTCGCAGTCTAGTCGGCATATGCCCAATTGGTAGATATTTTGCTTCTCTCAACTAAGAACTCACTACACCTAACGCAATGAGATTTCAACCCACGAACACTGACTCGCTAGTTGCGATTCTCAACTGTTATGGATTGGGCTTGATTTTAATCACTTATTGCGTTAGGGGTTTTTACAGGTAAATTAAATTACATAGTTGACTAGCTTAGGCTACCTTTCTGCTCTCATTTTCAAAGCCGTGTAAGGAACATTTGTGGTCGCATACGATGCTAGTAAACCACTGAAAAAGCATTACTTAAGACATTCCCTAAACCCTTCTAAGCCAATTCTGAAGAACCAAATATGAATGTGTTTTCAATTTAAAATTATTATCATTGTTAGGTTTATACTCTATTCCACTTGTCGGACAAGTATATATTAAGTTTGTGGGGACGTATGTAACACCCAGAAGTACCTCAAACAGACCCATTTTTCATTAAACCAATCATTTAAGCATGTCTGTCTGTCCGTCCTATTTCGTTGTGTTCAAGCACAGGGCGCTATTCTTGAGAAATTTTGATGAAATTTGGTACACTGGCGTATTTTGACTGAAGACGAACGGCGTAGAAAATGGTTCGGTTGGGACCATTGCCTTGAAAAGACTTATTTTGAAAAGTCGTTAAATGAAAAAGTGTAGGTTAGTGTAGGGTGCTCTATGCTGAACTTGATCAAGTATGGTCTTCTTCTTCGCTTTAATTTAAAGCAGTGCACGCACTACATATACTCGGCGGCATAGTTAGTCTTAGCACTTTCGATACCCATTGATTTTGGGAAAGGGAATTGAGAGCGACAGAGCGAATTCTGGGTTAAGTCGACTTCATCTTCATTTTGAATTCCTTTTTTATTTTTCTTCTTTCTTTTATTAATACTTATTAAGCTCTTATTTTTAAACGCTATATAACGTTTTTTTAAAACTTCCTTTTTTTATTTTTTTTATTTTTTTTTGTTATTATATATTTTCCTTTGCAACCACAACCTTTCGTTCATGGGTTTTTGGTTTGGTAAACACAGTTATTTTTGTTTCATTTTAAAATGGTTTACTTTCCTCGTTTTTTTTTTTTTTAAATTGCATTTTACTACAGTACATGTATATAACTTCGAAGTAATTCTCGCATTCACTCACCATACGTTAAACTGTACGTGCATTCTCATATGTATTCAGGTGTTATCTTATTTTTGTAAAGGTTTTAATTTAATTCTTCACCATTTTTCGCTTTTTCCACTCTTTTATTTCGCTATTTGCGCTCGTTCCGTTCGTGGTACTCCACCTGTGGTTTATTATCAGTTGGCTGGAAAAGAATGTGGTATATATTTTCGTTGTGTGTATAATTTAATCTCCAGACATCAGACGCTTTTTTGTTTGCATGAATCTATTCTATTGTTGTTGTTTTATACATCGTAAGGAATAAATTATTTTCAGCTTTTTTTTATTTAAATTTGTTATTAATTCAAGTTTTATTTATATCGCTCGTGCGTACTCGGAAAACTCAGTGTCAAAACGATATCTTTAGTCTTTTAGTCTTTTGTGGTGCGCACAGTTTCGATCAAGTGTACTTCACACAGTATTTTAAATGAATTACGGGATAAATGCGCCTCTGCTTCCAGATCTCCCCCTGTTGACTAATTCGGGAAAAGCTGATATTACAACTCATTAATCGCTCTTTCCGTCGATCAATGTACTTGACCTTTGGCATTCGACCCAACTCGGCGTTTTAAGCTGCACTTTGAGTTCTCTCTTAATAAAAATAGATTAGTTCTAGATTTTAGTAAACGATGATCCAGAGGGCCACACACAGGCTGGATACCTGAGTTTGGTGTGACCAATACTTAAGTATACCCCTGTTCTGTCGACTTCTTCTTCTTACAGATGTTATGCAGGGTCAGCAGAGTCTTTTCGCAAGCGATTTCCTCTCTGTGCCCTCAAGAACTTGACCTGGGATTCGTTTATCTCATTGGCTCTCTTGGCTTCAGGAATATAGATTGCGTCTGGTAGCAACTTTTTACTTGTCGGCACTGTTAGGTGAGATAAACTTGATCGCTCCTAATCGACTTTCTAGAAATTTCATATTCATAACATTTAGCTATAATTAATTGGGATCCTTTGCAAACATCTTAAGGACGTCTATCATTTAATCTCAATTTTCGATTCTTTATTAACTCTTAACTTTTAAGCTTTTATATGAATCCCAAATTGAACTGAACATATTCACATGTTACCTCCTGCCAAGTGTTTGCCTAATTGCAAGTGCTGAGATGTCCACTACTAATTTGGATCTAAACTGGGTGCTGGCGTGTCTTCGTGCTGGACGTGCATACGCTTGTGTTCCTTTTTGTTTTCTTATATATTTTTTTATATGAATTTTCTTCTTCTTCTTTTTTGTACCCTATACAACTTGAAAGTATAAGGGTACATTAAATTTTGTATGGAGCTACGCAAAGCCCGGAAGGACTTGAGAGAGATCCACTTTTATTATACAGATCAATTCGGAATCACTTTTTGCATCAAATTTAGCCTCTCTGCCCGTCTGTCTGTCTACCATACTTTCTCTAATCTTTAGATTTAACACGGATTTTATACGGACATGTTTTGGCCCAACGACGAACGCTATTGAGAATTGTTCCACTCTCGGACCACTTTTGCGGCCATTCTTCATACAACGCTTTATTTTGAAAAATTGTTAAAGAAGAGAGGTAGTGGGTTGGTGTTTAATGGTGCGCCGCATTCCACTGTAGTCTTTTCTTAGTTGTTTTTCTTTATTTTTCTTTACATAGTTTTTGTAATGATTTACTCACAGTATCTCAGCATCAGATTTATTTCTAAGAGTCGAGCGAAGGCGACAATTTTAGTTTATTTTAAATGAATCAACAACGTGTTAACCTTTTAAGAGTGGTCAATGTAGAATACGAGTCCTATTGGAAGCATTACGGGATGCTGAGATCATGTCAGTCGCGGAAACAACACAAAAATGACTAATCATTACTGTAAAGGATAAGGGAATGTGTAAGAAGCAATTATATACGATAAAGTATTAGATGCTTTTTCTACACAATAAAAACCCTATCGGTCTATGTCTAAGCCTCTAAAGCAAGCCTTTATTGCACTGAGCTAGTACGTGGTACCTAAAGCGCTGCCCGTTTCTGCTTTCGACCTACATAAATAAGTTATGGCCAGTGATAGCTCGATTCGTGGATAGCTTTTAAATAGATTGGGAAGAATTATCAGATTTTGTTATTATTATCTAATTCTCTACCTTTATCCAAAGATAATATAATGAGTGATGAATTCTCAACGATTTTCTCGCATTGTATATAGATGACTTACTTTCTAAAAAAGGAAATGAGTGAACACTCGAGCGTTGGCAAATTCGGGATCTTTATTAGTTTGAGTGTTCGAACTATAATTTCTAGTAACAATTGATAATGAAAATAAGTTTTTATAAAATCACATATAATTTCCTTTCGAGCTCGAAGTCGTTAATAGAGCTTCGGTGTCGCTTCACATATATATTCACATTTGTCAAAATATATATAAAATTGGATCGAGTAAAACATATCTTGTATGAATTTATCATTGTATCCGAATATTTCTATACGCTAATATGCACATATATATATTACGTATGTATGTTCATGCATTTAGGTACGAATGAATGTTGGATGTAAACCGTGTACATATGTAACGAGATAAAAATAAAAAAGTTGCAATAAAAAAACTTTGAATTAATCGAATAAAAATTAAAGCTTCCTAAAGAAAAAGTAATGCCCTAAAAAATAAAGAGAATTATATGGTTTCAGTTCAGTTGCGAAAAAAAAAGAAAAAATTTAGAAAAAAAACCGTCCTAGTGTTCAAGCACATTATCGGTTTTGATTTTATGAAATGATCAAAAAAAAAAAAAGTCCGCAAATAGCGCGACAAACTAGAAAGCGAATTTTACTTTTTTTTTTTTCAAAGCATTGCTTTTGATGACTTCAAATCCATCAATCTCATCTCCTTCCGACTGGTATGCAGTGCACGATTGTTCATTTTCACTAGTTGGAGGTGAGACCGTACCGTTTTCTATTACCTTCTGACAAGAATGTCTTGTAAGCACCGACTGCTCTATATGGATGTCTACTTCAGGGGGCGTATCGGTCGCAGCTCCTAAATCAATATCTTCAAATAACATGTCGTCATTCTCGTCATTACTATCACCATTCACCGATTCGCTAGGACTGCCAGGAGGGCTGAGAGCTTGTATTAGTTTATCTCGTGATTCATTCCAGATATGGTTGAGACGATCGCGTCCAAATAATAGCAAGAAGGCATCAATGAATTCACGTGACTTCTCTTCCCACTTGGTTATAATGTCATCCTTGACTTTTGTGAATTCACGTCGACCACGATCCTTGAGTTCGTCCATTTTATTTTGTAAGCGAAACTTTTTCTCTGATAAAAACGAGACATTGAGCTCTTTGGCAGAATAACCTCTGGCCAGATTACGTCGTACGTATAAATCATAATCTTTTACAATGCGTGCCACTATGTCCGAGGTGGAAACGCCTTGAGTACGTTCGGTAGCAACGAACATATCTTTGGCTTTTAACCATCCATATATATCATTGACTCCAACCCCTGTATAGGGAATATCGTCGTGTGCGACAAAATCGATCTTATTCGCAATTATGAACTCCTCGGTTAAAGTCCATGGCGCATCTGAGATAATCTCATCTACATAGCGGCAATGCCTTACACCTTCATAACGCTCCCGTTCGGTCATTGCAGTGCGTCCTTTCATGCGGTGGGTAAGTTCGTCATTGCAAATGCCCACAATTAGATAGACATTAGGAAATACATTTTTAGCCTGCATTAACTGTCTGGCATGACCTTGATGAAATAAGTCATATATACCATCGGCGTAGACGCGCGGTCGCCGTGGCGCTTCGCCATTACGCGCCACCTGATATGTTAACTTTTGACTATAATCGCAATTCTCACGTTCTTGTACCGCTTCTGCATCAGTGGAAAACGGCGCGGGCTGACATGTTCGCAATTTTTCAAAATTCATATGCAAAGGTAATGCTTTTGCCACATCTGCCATTCCGATTTCCGATAATTTCACAAATATTCGGTCTTTGTAATTTTATGCAAAAAATATATGTATGTCTCGAGTATAAAGAAAAATAATTTAAAAATTCAGGAAAATGGCAAAACAAATATTTATTTTTCAATTTTAGACAAATAATTCAAGTCTGCTTTTCATCGAACGGAAGTAAGCAAGCACTCTGAGGCAGCACCTTACTTAGAATTTATTTCAGGGCTACCTTCGTTTGGCATCCATTTGTTGAGATCAAGTCTGTTAATTGTTTTGCAATTGGCTACGTCCTGCACCCTGTGTTGCGAGAATATATTAAGTTTGTGCTGATGTATGCAAACCACAGAAGGAATTGAGATCGACTTGTCTTTTATTATATCGATCGATTATAAATCACTGTTTGCATCAATTTTAGCCTGTTTGTCCGTCTGTCTGTGTATCTTACTTTCTCGTGTTCGACTTATAGGTTTAGATGTTCGCCTGATATACATACCGATCACTTAAGCATGTTTGTCCGTCTGCCTGTCTGTCCATTTTGTTTCTTTCTTTTTTTTTGCGTTCAATCTACAGATATCCCAGCGCCACTTCTGCATTCGGAAAAGTAATGTAAGGCATTCAATGACGCCCACTATGAAGTTTTTACTCTTTATTTGCAGGAAATTTTTAAAGAAATAAATAAAAACGCAGTTCCATTAGGTGAAGGCATTCGCAGGTCGATGTTTTGCGAATTCAAAGCTCCAGTGCGGTAGATCATACTCCATGGTAGCTAGCATACATATGAAATGGTCAGTTCAAGATCTGATCTCAAGATGCGGGTTAAGTATTATTATTATTAATTTAGCCAGAAAATAAATTCTAAGACTAGCATCTAAGGCTTTCGGCTTTATTGAAAACTCTGTCGCACTTGAGATTCGAACCCACGACCACTGAGTTGCAAGTCGAGACTCTTGCCTACTCGGCCACCCAGGCGGATTTTTTCATTTTCAGCTACGAATTGTTGGCAGTTGTATTAAAATACCTAAGCGATTTCGCTTAAAACCAACTACGATTATATAGAAAAGCATTTTAGATCTGTAGCTACCTCTACTTCCAGACATTTTAGTATAGGCGACATCGCCAAAGTGATTGGTCTTATATAAGATAAACAAAAAAGGAAGGCTTCAAATGCTAAAAAGGTGAACAACCTTTTGTATCATCGTCATCATCAATGACTTCTCTTTATGCGCCATACGCTGACAAGAAAATTAGCAGGCAATGATTTTTGACACTAAAAAATCCGACTCAAGCACTTTTAAATACAAGAGTTTAGTAATTATTTCATCCATAGAAATAATTCTAGGTATAGGAGTAAAGAAAATATCACCGAAAATTTCCCAAGTCCTATGTTATTTGATTTCATTATAGTTTCATATCGAAGGACCTAATATTCTTTATCAGTAATGTGATACGTGTATGATCATGTATGCATAAACTAGTTATGCGATTTATTTAGAAATGAATAAAAATCGAAATGATTCACTATTTCCACTACTTCTGGCTCTTTTCCCAGGGAAAACACAACAAAAAAAAAAAAAAAAAAAAAAAAGAGCAAAAAATTTAGTTCTTTTAATTCAAATCTTTATTGTTGCATATCAAAAGCAAAAAGATTTCGATTTGTATGCGCATTTGTTCACGCACATATGCACTCCTTGGAACTTGTTTTGCATGCAGAAATTGTTTCAATATTGAGTCTCGATGTGTGTGACTCAATATTCACCTAGGTTTGTGTGCGAGCGTATAAGGTAGCATAAGCAAACAAAATGGTCAACTCACTGGGTGGGTGTTACGAATGGACGAATGTGTGCGTGTGATGAATGTTTGTTCGTTTATCGTACGTGACTTTTATGTTAATACGTTTTTACTGTAACGTTTCGTATGTAGGTAAATATTATGCATCGAACAGCTTAAGTCCAAATAAAATAATAATAATACGTTTTCGTTTTCGATTTTTTTTTCTCTTTTTTTTTCCAAACTTTGCGTTTTGTTGATCAACTTGAAATGACACCGTATCAATTGCTTTTGCGGGTGTAAATATAAACGCACACATATAAGCATGCACAGTTATGCCGAAAATAATAGCAGCGTGGTTTTTACTCATTCACTCAGGTGCTCTGAGAAATCAAAAGAGATCAGCATAATACTGCAGCGACACTTACGGCCGTATTTCGGTGTTGAGACCACTCACCAGTCATAAGTCCTTGTGACAGTGTTTTCTTGTCATACTTTTTGCGGTTCCGCCTCAAATTCCTTATTTGATAGGAACAGAAACAATAATTTTTTTGAATTTTTCTATAAAACAATTAATTTACGAGAAGTATAAGGAGAAGAAAACACTTGTGATTTTCTTTTTTTTTGTGATGTCTTTGTGTTATTCGGTATATGTCTCCAAGAGGCAAAGAGAATATTCCTTGCGCTGCTCCAAGACTTTTTCGTCTAACTATGGGCCTGGCACCCAGGTCGCGGCTATGAAAACACGTAGTCTGCTTAAACGTGCACAAATATATAAAGTAATAACTGATTTTATATACGAAACACTTATTCAGTTACAACACCATACAACCAACAGTAGGCAAAAGTGATAAAATTGTTTACTTATATTTTTTTGCACGCTATGTCGAGTAGAGAGAGGAAACGTGTTTATTCAACATCAAATGGCTTTGTTCAAAATTTCATTGGTTAAAAAAATTATGCCATTTAATGTTATTATTAATTATTATCGAGAAATTGTGCGAATGTATTCAGTTAAGGAGTCAAATTAACTGCTTTGCTTAACTGTAACTAGGAAAAAAACCTCAAGAGCGATTGGTCATTGCGTGGTTTTTTCATTATCATGGTTCGAAGACCAAATATACTACACGCCTACTCTTTTCATCAGCAGCATTGTCATATTGAATTATCAGATTGATTTTTCTTCGCTTGTTGTCTACTGTTTGCAGGCGAATGCAAGACAGTGATGTCAGAAGAAAAATATCAACAACACATGTCTTCATCATTTACATTTGTAAGCAGCAAAAGTCAACGTCCGTTGGCCGAGGCAGGGTTTTATTTCAAGTACACTATTAATTTGTAGTCCATTAAAACGGCAAGAAAATAGGCTAACCGAGCCTGCCCGGTCGTCGGCTTAGTTTCGTCAGTCGACGACTGTCTTTTGAAGCACATGGCGACTAATATCGAATAATGTCATTCCTGTCCTCGCGTAGGTACAAAATCACTTCTATCCACACACATTGTATGCTTAAACTCATGCGTGGGACCCAAATCACTTCTCTGCAAAGTCACAAACGTTGTCCTTTTTATAATTTATAAAAACATTGAACTAAATATAAGCGTGTGTTGCTTAACAGGTTACTTGCAGAGCACAGTTCCCATACAACGCAGTACAAAATTATGTTATTCCACATGATATTTTAGTTTAAATAAAAAACAACTAAGAACACCATACTCGGGCAATCTTCAACCAATAGGCACCCTGTACCACTTGGTCCAGTATCCACTAAAAAGAACCCATTATTGTCGTGTAAAGGCATACTTTCCGTGAAAGCCCGCATGCTGGACGATGCCTAGAGCATCACATGGCGTGATCCCAGCTTAGCGAACTTAATTTCTTCTTCTTTTACTGCCTGTTCGTTGCGGAACGTAAGCGACCACATTTTACTTAATTTATCATCCTCGTAACAAATTAGACTTTTTCTGCATACAAGGGGCTGCTTTTCGTGGAAACCCCTATACATATTGGGGTGTAAAGAATATACCTATGTGATCCACATTCTTTAACCGTTGAATGTTTTGACTACCTTGCTACTATGGGCCCATTTTTATTATAGAATATTAAAAATCAAATCTTTCTATTCACAAGAAACCATATAGGGAATGTAGTCTAAGAAATCGACCCATGAAATTTAAATCTGGTCCATTTACGTTGTCGGCCAAATTACTATCACGAACAAACTTTTATTACAAAACATTAACAATTAGGTTATTTCGGCATATAACCGTTTACATTTCCTAAGACTCCTTATAAGGAAGTGGTCAAGGCCAAAACCTAGGTCTGCGTGATCCAAAGTCGTTAAGGTTGATTTATCTGCCAATTTACTGCTATGGCCCAATTTTTTCCATAAACTAATGAAGGTTAGATCTCGTTGCTACATAAAAATTCAGTTCTCTTAGGAACGGTTATATGAGGAGTTCAAAACATTCCCCTACTCGATTTAAAGGGTTTTGTACCCATTTAGGATGGAAATTGGGTGAAAAAGTAGATCGAGCCGAACCATTTGCAATAACGTTCGTCCTTTGTCCAAAACAGATGAGCGTACCAGATTTGAAATCAAAATATCGGAAAAACTGCGATCTGTAGGTTGAATACAAAAAAGAATGAGTGCCTACGCATGGACAGACGGGAAGGCAAGCTTAGATCGATTCTGAATTGATCGGTATAATAAAGGGTTAGGGCCGTTACTTATGTCCGCATAAACTTAATATACTCTATATCACGCAAGTGGCAACATAGTTTCGGGTAAGACGGGTTCGATCGACACATCACAGTTCGAAGCAACCATGTTAAGCGAGGTACGCATGTAATTAAATTTACTTTTAGCTGACAATTTTCTTAAGATACACTTCCAAGATTTCCATCGTAGGTAGTAGTGAGCTTATCGGTTAATTATTCAATTCTTCTTATCATCTTGATTTAAGAAATGTTATCAATTTTCTGTTTAAAGATATTCGAGAGTGAATTTAAACGTAATCTTGAACTTATATCTATGTTTTTTGATTTAGCATTGACACAATAGCATTGTAGTTGTTAGTTAAGAGAAAAACAGACCTATGCAAATTGTTAATAAAAACTTTTTTCCCGGACTTTATCAACAAACTACGAAAAAGTTCATAATTTTTTACATTTTTATGTCCGTTGTCTCAGGTAACAGATTGCGGACCCAAAAATAATTTGCATATTTTCTTTCGGACCT